GTCAACCCCGGTTGTACAAGAAGAGTAATTCTTAAAACTTTAAGTTGTTTGTCTCTATTGAAAGTCCAAATAGATCAAGCAATAGTAATGTGTTTCTAGGGACGAAAAGAATAAGTTTGATTTCACCAAAAACTGACTTTAATCTCTATTTTAGATCAGAAAAGTACAATTACGTTCCCGAACTATTAGTTTCATTTGCTCAGTGTATTTCTATACTCATAATTTATGACCTTACATTAGGCACAATTTAAGCTTGTCCCATTACTACTTTTTCTTTGAAAGTTTTCAACTTGTTTACAGACTTGATTACTTTTCAACAAAGCTGTGTAAACATCAACACCAGTGCACAAGTAGATTCACTATGAAACGAATAAAAATTCTCTTGCATGTAGCTGTAGTAGAACGGTTTATTTCTTGATCTGCAGGAATGTCCAAAGCTCGAACAAGCCGAGGATTGGTTCTGTAAGATTTACTACTCATGTACATTTCAAAGCCAAAATCATAAATAAAAATAAAAGCTAAATTTATATGGATCATATTATAGAAGAGTAGCTTGGTATGGTAATGTACATTCCTGGATATTGGCTTCTTGTGGAATGATTATATGAGTTAGCTCAGAAAGTTGAGGAATCTGCTACTTTATCCTGCGTATAATATGTGAATTTTCAATACAGGCAAATTATGAATTTATAATTTCAAGCTAAAGAGAACTATAAAAATAGAAGACTAAAAGTGAAGTCTTTGGTGTAAAAATATGTCAGTTGTAAATTAGCACTTTATTATTCATATAACGAATTCAACATCGTTGACTAATGTTCATTGGAGCATATGAACTGTATCTTATAATAGACTGTAAAAAATAGAATCCTGATCCAACTGGTGCTCTGTGTACAAATTGAACTCCAATGTCTTAAACATTCTGAATAGCTCAAGGTTGATAGAGAAGTTGAGGAATCCTTATGCATAGTTCATGATAACTTTTTCATTTATAGATTAAAAACAATTAAGAAAATAAGTAATGCAAAAGAATTTTGTTGCGGAAATCCCCCCAAAGGTCACTGAACTTTGTCAAAATGCCCTAGGAGGTCACCGAATTTCAAAAAGTTCCTAAACAGTCACTGAACTTCGCCGAAATCCCCCCAGAAGTCCCTAAATGGTCACTGAACTTTGCAAGAGGTCTCTAGGAGGTGCAAAGTTCAGTGATTGTTTAGGGACTTTTTGAAGTTCGGTGACCTCCTAGGGCATTTTGGCAAAGTTCAGTGACCTTTTGGGGGATTTCTCGAATTTTGTTCCTTTTTTTCTTTCTAGTTCTCTTGAGCATTGATGATTCTTCTTAATAAGGTGATTTGATTTTATGAAAATGTGTGGTAATAGTAATGAGTAACATGAGTGGCAGAATGAAAGATTAAATCAAAAGGAGTATGAATTATGTTAGTTGATATTAGGGATAATGAATTGATAAATCATAAACAAAGTGTTTTCTAAATGCAAATGACATGGTTTATTAACATACTCTGAGAAGGTGTTTCAAATTTTATACTTTTTATGACTACAATTGAAAGTTCATCTAGGATTCATTAGTACGCGATCAAAAGCTTTTAGAAGTGAATATTTCTTTTATGATTGTTGCTTAGAATAGAAACAAGCATGTATAATATTTTTCATTTTGGTAAATTGAACTGTGAACAGAGAAATTCATACGGTTTTCACATAAAAGTCAGAAAATGATGGTAAAAAAATTAAAGTGTGAGAAAATCTTGAGTTTCAACAAGTGGTGGATCCAGGTGGTGATCCACAGGTATTTTTTTTTTTGTCAACAATAGATTAAATTTTTTCGTTATATCTCTGATAATTGATTTCATTTTCAAACATTCCCTATAGCTTTCTTGGTGAGAGGTGACCTTAACATACTTCAAATCTCAAGTTTGAATCCTTGTTAATGGATTTTTTATGTATTATTTTTATTCTATAATTTTACCAAAAATTCAATAAGGAGAGGGACAATAAGAATTTGAACTTGTTATCTCAAGCAAGGGTTGTGGTAACTTAACCATTATGGTACCTATTGAATTATATAACTAAATTTACCAAAATGATATTTGTTAGGTTCTAACTGTTGTAATGCAAACACTTTTAAAGATTCGAATTCCCACCCTTCCTTTGAATTATACAAAACTTTACAACAATGTTATTTGATAAGTTCTATTTATTTTTATAACAGAATTATATATGTTTAGTTTGAACAAAATAATTGTTATATTTATACTTTAGGCCTTGTTCGATTCCCTTTCTTTAAAAATACATTTTTCATTCTTCTTTTCACCCATATGTTATTCAATAAAATAATATTACACGTAAATTCGAATTTTTTATTTTTATTTTTAGTCACACGTTCTCCATCAAATCACATTCCAAAATGCATTTTTTGCAAAAAAATGGATGTCAAAAGGACTTTTAATATTTTATTGTGACCAGCGGTAGATGGTCAACGGCTGCTTGTGCTGATTCAAACTCCTAAATTCACCCTTGGTTTCAACAATCATGGATAATCTCTTAACTTCTTGCGGTATCTCAAGTTTACTGCAATTCTTTTTCACATCATCATGTAACTTTAATACCTTGCTTGCCTGAGAGTGAAGTTTGATCTGCACATATATGGAAAAACGTCATGTATAATTCAATATTAGAGTATTCAAAGGAGCAAATCTTATTGACATTCCAGTTTGTTGATGTTCTGAAGACGAGATAAGATGGTTTGTAGGACTAAAATAAGGGAATAAAAAGTTCATATAAAATACTAAAGAGTGTTATAGTAAACTACTGAAGTGCAATTATGAAGTGAACAATACAGTTGTTGAAAATAGCAGCTTCACTCACTTGACCACAATACACAACTTGATAACTTGAAACTATCTTGTCCAATGTATTTCTAGCAGTAGGTTTCTGTTTGCAAAGGAATGAAAATGGTAATCATTGGACTGTATTCATAAAAGCATAAAGAAATGCATATAGAAAGCATTCAGCAACATCAGATAAGGTTATTATTTTGAACCCAGCATGCTTCCCATTTTTATTATGATTGTTGAGTTTGTTTTTCACAAACTATTCATTAAGAGTAAGCCTTCTGGAACCAAATACCTTCATCTTCTCCCAAATAATGATCTGTATGTAATTGAAAAGTAGATGAAAATACCTTAATCACAAAATGAAAAGGTTTTCGATACTTTAAAATTCCTAGAGATATCGTTATTCTCGAGCAATAAATCATATAATGACAAAATTCGATTCCCAACAAAAAAATAAGATTCAACATTTATTAATTTGACGCTGAACGAAGTAATCAAGACATCCAAGTATTAACTTCTATATGTTTTTCAAGTTAAAAGGAACTCACCAATGTGTTTTCAGATGGCCAATGGTGCAAATACAGCTAGGGTAACGAAAAGAACAACAAAAAATCTTCATTTCAATGAGTGCTGCTGTTGAAACGAAGCTTCAAGAACACCAACATCATGAATTATGGTTTTTTTTTAATAATTGGGATGTAGAACTTTCCTTTAATTTGATGAAAATACACTTATCACATAAAACTCTAACATGAATTCTTTATTTCATCCATATTCTCTAATTCTATACATTTCATCCTCTTCAAGTCATCTTTCCTTATTCATAGTTTCTTTGTTTAAAACTTTCTTTTTTTTCCTTGAAAAATAATTAACAAATTATAGTCAACAAGGGATGTGAATTCGACTCTCCAACATGCATGTGACCACGAGTATTGTCATCGTGGTGATCATGTGAATGGGGGTGCTCACTACCTGTAGGAATAAAATAGAAACAATTACAACTGTGAAAGTAATGGACTGTAGACATATTTTACAAAATCCATGACAAAAATTACCAAAATGCATAATAATTTACAGTCCCATAAGAAAATAAAAACATGCCAAAGCAAGGTAGGACCTTAAACCACAAGGTAATAACCTTAAGCTTAAGAAAACATAATAACCAATTACTTATTAGGTATATTAATGCTTGAACTTTTCCTAGCTAATAAAAAACACTTTAATAGTATAAACTTCCCAAAAAAAAAAAAAAAAAAAAAAAAAAAAAAAAAAAAAAAATTAAACCGCGGGATGTGCCTCCTACTGATCAGAGTCCGAGCGCCTCTCCAACTGAACTGTCAAAGTGCCTAGTGAGCCAACCCACGATGTGCCTTGCCTTTCAAGACATTCCTACCTTCCAGGATAAATCCTGTCTTCCAGTATATGCCTTGCATTCCAAGAGCCCCACGAATCGAACCACGACCTCTGAATTGCCAACCTTGAGAGAAACCTTCCTTTGCCAATGGAGAAGTGCCTCGGGGGGCAATTAGTATGGCTTTCTAGTCTTAAGACACATGAACTCGTGATATCTTACTTGCACAGTATTCATAACAACTTTCATTTTCACAATCCCTAATAATATTCTCATTACAAAAATATATCTACTTTGCATGAAAGCTAGTTAAGATATATTTCATTATTCAAAATATTCTTGAGACGTTGGTCTTAATGTCCCCAAATTTGCTATTGTTTCTTCAAACCTAGATTGATGATTGTATTATTAATCCATTTCAATTTTACCTATTAAAATATTGAAAAATAATGTTTATGATATTTTTATGTAACAAGCTAAAGATTATTTTTTAAAATTATATTTTAATAATCACAATGAGATTGAAAATATTAATAATTTTAATAAATTGATCTAAAATTTATAATTTGAAATATATCATTTCTTATTTAAATGCATGTCTGTTGAAGATTATAACTGTTTATAAACTCTTGATTCAAAAGATATTGTATTTAAAAAGTAGGTAAATTTTATGAAATTATGGAATATTAGGATAAAATTATCGATTAACCCGTTTATAAGCAATTATAAAAGAAATTCTTATTTCCAAATTTTAAAAATTAATAAACTTTTTTGATATAAATAAAATAAAGGAGAAATTTCACTAAGAACTAAGGACGATTCTGGAGGGAGAGAGAGAGAGAGAGAGAGAGCTCTTTCCTTTATTCAATTCTGGAAATTCTTCAATTCTTTGACCTGGTCAGGTGATCTCTCCTCTAAATCTGTAAGAACCCTGCAGTGATTTTAACTTCAGTCTTTGATTTTAAATTTCTGTCTTTCAATAACTCCCACGATTCTTAGCAATCTACGGCTAACTATTCGGTTTCTGAATCAATTTCAAGTTTAATTTTTAAGGAGAAATTGATATACGAGGTTTGAATGTGCTGAATCCAGTGAAATCTGAAGTTGGTTTGTGTTAATTTTGGAATTTATGATTCACTTGCATTAAATTGAATTGTTGGGGCTCAACCTCTTTGTTTTGAGCGTATTTATCTGTTTTGTGAAAATTATAGCTTATAATTCAGTTTCCAAGTGTGTGTAGATGGGGAAACCATTATTTTACGAGATATGGGAAAAGCCAGCTACAAGCTCTATAATAGGTTTATGCAGTGTAATTTGGTTCTGTATTCAGAAAAAGAACATTGGTTATTCCCATGTGGGCTTGAGTTATGAGACTGCAATTCAAGGTCACCATTGGAGGATAATAACCTCGGCATTTTCACATATTAGTGTTGTTCATCTTGCTTTCAACATGAGTGCTCTTTGGAGCCTTGGGATTATTGAGCAGTTAGGGCATATAGGCCTTGGAGTAGAGTATTATCTCCATTATACACTAGTGATGGTTGTTTTGTCAGGGATGCTTGTTATTGGTATGTACCATCTTTTGATACGAAGGTTCAAACTAGACTATTTTCGAAGAGTCACTGCTGTTGGGTACTCTTGTGTTGTTTTTGGGTGGATGACGATCCTATCAGTGAAGCAACCCTCATTCAAGTTGAATCTTTTTGGGTTTCTGTCCCTTCCTATCAGTTTTGCGCCATTTGAGTCCCTCATCTTCACGTCGATAATTGTTCCTCAAGCGAGTTTTCTTGGTCATTTATCCGGAATTATTGTCGGCTATGCTATTGGCTGGGGTTTGATACATGGGATGAGCAATTACTGGGCAATATCTATGTTGGGTTGGATTGTGCTTGTATTTATATTTAGTTTGAAGAAGTCGGGTACGTATGATTTCAGCTTTATTGAGATTGAACATGTAAATGATCCTTCCTTGCGCTTTGTGGCTTCAGGAAATGGCAGAACCTTGCAGATGGGTATGCTTCCAGGTGTTGGTGCTGACCTTGTGTAGTTTCTGGGGAAGTTTTACTTTATATTGTAATGTTATAATTAAATCTCTTAAATATTGTCAAGTCAGATGGCTAAATATTGTTCTAAAGCGGGGTTGTTTGAAGCTGTTTAATCTTCTTCTCAAACTATTTAATGCATGTCAACTCTCGTAAATGCTTCACGGAATGTAAGAGCTATGATAACCTTCATTTTTCATGCTTCGTAGATTATGGGGAAAGCTCTCCATCATATTGAATCTTGGTCATGCAGATCTTGTACCAATTTATTTTTTATTTTTATTTTTTTGGTATGACTATAAAAAGTGCATTTTCAAAGAAATTTGTTGATATAATCTTTGGAGGCATGAATGATGATAAGTTGAGTAGAGGTTGAGATATATTATTTGATGTTTTTTCTTTTCTTCTACTGGACAGGAAAACTGTTTATTGCCTGTGAAATACTTCTCTTGTAAGAAAAACAAATTTTATGGGAACGAAGAAGGACAATTGAACTTGCATTTAGTATTTTCAATTTTGAGCAGTTGCCTTGATAAATTGTGGAACAAGACAAGGAGCGTCAGTAGTTTCCTTAATATAATTGTTCAATTTTCAGTTTCCTCTTCCATTTTTGTTTGAATCCAGGGAAGATGAGAATATTGAAATGTTAGTAAATGCCATTCCAAAGCTAATTTTTGGATGATTGTTATTATGTAGTATCATTTTATCTTTGATAGTGAAGTCATATCTTCTATTTTTATTGATAATAACTTTTATTCGGTCCATTATATTCCTATAGTAGCCGGTCCAAGCACGAATAGAGGAGGAAGTTTATTTAAGGTTAATAGTTAGTGCACTTCAGGTGTATGAAAAAGTGGGCAGGGTTTGGGTAGGATTACCCTATGAGGCATGCATCACATCCATGTTTGGATATGTCAGAACGTAAATAATAGATCTCAAAAGATAGGAACTTGGAATAAATGAATATTTGTAATAAAATCTTTATTCATAGGAAGAAAATGACCATGCCTTTTTGAAGTCAAAAGTTGCTTCTGAAATAAAGAAGTTATTTTGAACATATTTGAATAATTTTCTGGAAGTTCTTCCTCTAACTAGAAGAGCTTTTAAAGAAGCTAATCTAAGATGACTTTATCAGGAAGCTCTTCTACAAGAAGAAGCGGAAGCAGCAATCTTACCAAACGGGCTCACGGTAAGTTGGAGAGAAGGCGAAATAACTTTGAACTGCTAGGTATAAACTTTGATGATGAGTAACGAAAAAAGTATAAACAAAGTAGGAATACCTATTGGACTGTGTTTAAACATAAGGTTATAGAAATTAGCGGTGGGGTTATATTCCTTAAGACTGTGTTAGGACAAGAGTCTATCAATGTTATTTAGTATCTCTGTCTCACAAATATGGTTAGACTATGCAATGAAGCAATTGTTTTGAGAAGACACATATGTGCTAAATTCAAGCAATTTCTATTCAAGATACAATCTTCATTGAAAGAGATTTGAATGGTCGCACAGGTAATTGTAACTAAACGTGTAAATTAGGGATTAGAGTGAAGAAAGTATCACAATTTTGAACTTCCAGATGGCTTATGATTAGGTGCAGTGCTTTGAGACTGGAGATCCAACTAACTTTAAGAAGTGGGCATACATTTAATCAGATAGAGTTCATCCTTACTCGAAGGTGAATGAGTATTCATGTTGTTTTTTTAAGTTATTGCTGACTTGGATTATATTGAAGTTCATGAAATAGCTTCCAGTAAAGTTTGTAAAACAAGATTTATGCTTAATTTAACACCTCATTTTTTAGTATGAACTTTTGAGTTTCAAGGTAAGAAGCGATCTTTAGATTAAAATTTCAGTTCATGGATGTTTTTGACACGTGAAATATTATGGGAAGGAAGGATCTTTGCCTTCCAGCTGACACAGTGGTCTGCAGTGAGCATTTTGAATTTTTCTATCTTGTTTGATTGCTTGACCTTTAAAATTGTCCCGGTGCAGTGATAAGTTAAAGTCATTCTCTTGAATCCTTTGTTCGTTTCAGCTTCTACTCATTTTTCTCTATATTCTGTTGTTGTACGTACTGTACTGTACTGTACAGTCTGTATTGCATCAACTATCTACTTTGTTATTAAATTGTCTTGAGATGACTTTCATTTTTACATTTTTGTACATTTATGTCTTTATTGGACTGGAGATAATTCAACATGATTAAGGATGGGAGATGTTTGTAGTCGTACATTCATTGTCGTGTTTTACTGTTTTGTGTTGGAAGTTAAGCTAGATTGAGATTGTTGTAGACATAAGTTTCTATTTTCTGTCGTTAAAATAGACATTTCTAGTGTAAGAAGAGGAAAACAATTATCCTTTTCCCTTGTTTGGTGTGGATTTTAATCTTATGACCACACATTTCATCAATTTATACCAAAATATAATAAAAAGCTAAATTTTAACTATACCAAGTAGGGTTTTATACCTTTTTACTTTTCATTTTTGGTTAGAATAATTGATTCCACGTGGGCTGGTTCGACCCAACATGGCCAGGCATCCGACCATGAAGCCTTTTGTGCCTAATCAAAGAAACTTGGTCGTTATGGTTCAATTTACACTTGTAGTCATTGTATAAAGTTGCACGTACAAGAAATTTTTAACAGATTTCAAATAGGGAGATCTGTCAGAGCAATTTTTGGCAGTTGCCAATCACAGAGAGACATTTGTCTCCCTATTGGAAATTTGTTAAAGATTGGGAAAATGGCAGCAATGGTAACTTTCATTTTGTGTTAACAACAGTTCCGAACCTTTCATAAATATGTATCTAAGGTCCAAATATTTTCATCCATTTGACCATTAGTTGATTAGAAAAGTCAAAATTTGAGCAATTTGGATCAAATTAAAAAGGGTATAATGTTACTTTGTATTTTTCTAAATATTAACAATTAGTATAATTAAAATAAAAACAGAGAAAAGTAAAAACCGTATCCCTAGATCCCTCCTCCCTGTCATATCCTTCTCGGCCCTTTTCCCCTTCATCTTCTCCTCTCAATCTCACTATTCAAGGAACCCATTTCATTTTTAGTAATAAATTTCAAAAATCTCTTTTTTTAGATCCTATTTTCGCTTAAGCAAATATTAGTTGTGTCAGAATCCTTTTTCAATTTGTTGAGCAAATTCCACCTACAATTGAACAAATCAACCAATTAGTGAAGGAATTTGCAAATAAAGAAGGGAAATTAAGAACCAAAATCACAAAATTATAGAACGATGTTTTCCCCTTTTAGATTAGGCTCAAAAATCGATCCAACACTACAAAAGTATCTCCAATTTGAAGGCCTTTCGAGTCTCAAAGATAGATTCACACTAAGGTAGAGGTAGGTTCTTTCTTTTGCACAAAGCAGAAAAAGTTTTCTTGATTTTGGTGTGTTTAAAGTGAAGGAGAGGGACTCCAATTTATAGGCTTCAAGAGGAAACGAATTTCCCAGAATCTTGCAAGATAGAGTTCAATCAAAACGAGAGAAAATGTTATCAAAGATAAGGATTATGCTTATCTTTCACGTGATTTTCAAATTACTTCCAAAGTTGGGTATTGAGCACCTGGCTCAATGGGCTGATTACCTCGAAATACCCAACATAATTGGGCTACTATCAATTTTGGTGTGGATTTAATATTCTTCAATTTCGAGCTTATAGCCTATGAAAATAATTAGACTACGATTTTTCATTATTGCCTAGGGGATTTGGGTATCACTTACCAAAATCCCAACAACCTCCACCTTGATGCCAAATCAACCTGCAAGTCAGATAAAATAACAAATAGCTTAAGGAAAGAGACTTACAAGTTTGTACCGATGTTTAGAAGATCAAGGCAACTTTTAAACTTTACTAATGGGAGCACCTTAGTTGCCATATTTGCATGATTATATACTGAAAGGATTTCTCAAGTTTTACCAGTTCTTGAGAAACCATTTTTCTAATTGTAAGATTGGGTTGCTGTCTTTGTGGAAGTCCAGCCCATATATATATATCTAAAGCTGGCCCAATCCATCTGACTCGGGTTGATAGTCCAACAAGTAGAAGAATTTGGAATGGGTGAATAAAACGTGTTTTCTATTTTGATTTAACAACTTCAGCCAGATTACGACGTGTGGCATGTTGAAGGCCGTTGGATCAAATGAATCGGCTTCTTTCATTTAAAAGGAGCTCAAAAGTCTAGGGTTTGGACCTGGTCATTTTCGAGCAACTTCTTCTCGACTTTTTCTCTCTGTAATTTTTGGATTTTCTCTTTGATTTGTGAGATCGTGTAGTTGGTTGAGAGAAAGTGTTTTTGTATGAACTCTTGTGTGAGTTCTTCTTGTGAAGAAGTGGCCAGTTGTTGGTTGTTTGAGTTGGTGAACTGTGTGTTCGTTTGTAACTTGAAGTTTGCTGTTTTTGGTCGGTGATTTAGTGGATTCGAGCTTAAATTCTTATGGATGCTCAACGGGGACTAGGCGATTTAATCAATCACTGAATCTCGAGGCTTCGACCGAAAAATCTAGTGTTCTTTACTGTTCATGTTCAGATCTACGTTTTATACTTGATTTTTGCCTCGAATATTTTTTCGATTTTAAACTGTCTTGAACCTACAGTGGTATCAGAGCTTGGAAATAAGTTTTTTGTTTTCAGTCCCCTTTAGTCGAGGGTCTGGAACTCGTGTTACTGGATGGACAGAAAAATTGGCAGATCTTTAAGACCTGCCAACATTTAAAAAAAAAAAATTTGTTTGAAACTGAACTTTTACTTTGGTACTGTTTAGTGTGCCCTCACACTTTCACGTGTTTGGTGCTGAATTTCTTGGAAAGAAACCGAAGTTTCTTGATTGCTTTGGAGTTTTTCATTCCTGTGTTGGTGTTTTAAAATTTGACAGAAAGTTTTGGGTACTTTTAGTGAACCTTATTGCACCCTGCAACTATTGGTGACAACTTTGAGCATATTGTGAGCTATACAATGGTTTGGTAACACTGTTCTTGGCGAGATTCATTGATGGTTTCTTGGGTTTTGTGTGTTGTGGTACCTGCAGTAGCCTGGAGACATTGTATTTGTGAATAATTAGACGTTTTTTGAGTATTGTTGGTACATTTAGCTCTTGGGAGTATTTTCTTGGTAACAAAAACGTGCTTCAAACTTAGGGTTCCATTGAACCTCCCCTAAATCCACCTCTGTCTAGGGTTCCCTGAGAGAACCCTAGAATCTCTCGGGACTAGGGCTTCAATTCAAGAAACCTTCATTTTTCTAAAAACTGATTTTGAAACTCTTCCAC